TTTTACATAGTGAGACACTAAGTGACTAATATATCCCTGACTTTTGATTTGTTTCCTTCAATTAGCTATTGAATTGTAAATATATTTTAAAAGTTGATAGCTTTTGTATTTTTATCGATTTTACATATATAATATATCAAATTAATCATCTTTTGATAATATTCGATTTGACATTCATATTGTATATATTGAAATGAATAAATTATATTTATATTTATAATAATAAAAAATAATTATATTTATTAAAATCATTAGAAAAATAAAATTATTTCTCAATTGATATAATTATGTTTAATGTAGTTATATGTTGTAAGTTAAAAAAATTATTATTATATAACACATGTAAGTCGCACAAATAAAAAGTGTCATACTAAATATATAATAATATATAAATTTATAAAAGGTATTTAAATTTTTAACTATTTTTCTCATTAATTTTAGATTTTAAGAAAAAAAATTAACAAGCACCGGTGTTATACACGGAATTTGTACTAGTATATAAATATAGATTAAAGTTGATGTAGTGCATAAAAAATATTTATTATTTATTTAATTAAATTAATAATACTAAAAATATAGAATTAATATAAAGTTAATTAGATTATGAATTATGACTTGAAAATAAACAAACTGACTGTTAAAGTTTTGCAAAGAGAAGTTTCGAGGATGCTTGGAAAATTTATCCAAAAAAACTTAATTATTTTTAACCGGTAAAATTTTAAAATTGGTCCTATAATTTGACCACTGTCCAAAAAACCGCCCCTATATTGACCACTTTCAATTTAGGTCCTATAATTTGTCGATATCATCAATTTTGATCTTTTTTATCCGGACCCTGGATTAAAAAGTGATGTGGCATGACATGTCAGTTTTTTAAGGTTACATGGCGTGATTATGATCTATGTGGCACGTCAATTTTGGTCCTATAATTTGTCGATTTCATCAATTTTGGTCCTTTTTTCATGTCACGTCACTTTTTAATCCAGGGTACGGATAGAAAAGGACCAAAATTGATGAAATTGACAAATATTAAGATCTAAATTGAAAGTGGTCAATATAAGGGTGGTTTTTTTAGAAACTGGTCATATTATAGGACCAATTTTAAATTTTTTCCATTTTTAACCATTCACTCATTTTAATTTCAATCTAAGTCAACTTTAACTCAACCACACTATTCTCAATATTATTAAAATAATTAAATAATATCAATAAATCATTATTATACACTACATCGTATCTTAATTTAATATTCACTCACTCATATAATTTTAACTAACCATCACTTCACATTATCTCTCTTATTTTTATATCAAATCAACTTTAAGTTTTTATTTTAAATATTATTATCATACAAATTCAAAATCCCACTAAGAACTAACCATAACCAAAAAAAAATAAAAATAAAATTATATTCAAGCATTTGGCTAAACCCTACGAAGTCATGCTATTTCTCTTCGTCTCCTTCAGTACCCTGCAATCTGCATAACGCGGGCTACCATTTTTCCTGCTGAAGCCGAAGCTTCGAGCTGCCTACACGCAGTTTTTTCCCTCCACGAAAGATATCAAAATATATAAAAAATAAGACGACAAACCAAATTAGAGAAGAATCCATGGCTTCGGATGCTTCTGATGCTCTTGCAGGTAAGTTCTTGCAGTTGATTAACAGTGATCCATCACTCACATGGAGTTTCAGCCTTCTTCTGATCCATTTTTATTGGGTGCAGTCAGGGAAAAGGTTCAGACATTCTTAAATGCTGCGCAGACTGGAAATCTAGACCTCCTCAAAAGTAAGCACATCATTTTCAATTTTAGTTTTTGTCTACTACAGTATTCTCTTCATCCTGTACTTCCTCGTTCGATGTAGAAGTTTATTCGTTTGCTCCGATGTGGGAATTTTTATTTTCTTGGGAACATTCAGAATGTGCCCAGCTTCTTGATGATGGAAAAGGGTTGGCCCAGACGGTGGCGGCTATCAAGGATGCTAACAAGAGAGGGCCTTTGCATTTTGCTGCGAGAGAGGGTCAGACGGAGGTCTGCAAGTACTTGATAGAGGAGCTGAAGATGGATATTAATACGAAGGATGAAGATGGTAAATATATTCCTGGGCCTTTATGAGCACATATAGTAAAATTGATGGCACATAATGTTACCTGGTTGAGGATGAGTGTCCTGAAGCTACTGGCTAATGCTACTTAACTTGTTTAAACTCCATATTTATTTTTACTATTGTTCAGGAGAGACTCCTCTTATCCATGCTGCCAGGCAAGGACATACTGCAACTGCCAAGTACCTTGTGGATAGTGGTGCCGACCCTTCTATAGCGAGTGATTTGGGGGCCACTGCTCTTCATCATTCTGCCGGAATAGGTAAGTTTTGTGATCCTTGTCCACTTTCTGATCAAAGTTTGGGACAGTGTTGAATCTTACATATGACTACAAGTTAAATGTTCATTATTTAAAAGTAATGGGATGGGATTGCATTATATTTTCTCATTTCGTTTGTTTGAAAGTCAAATGATTCTTATTGCCCTTGCTCGCAGGAGATGTTGAATTACTAAAATTTCTACTCTCCAAGGGTGTAAATAGTGATTTACAAAGTGATGCTGGTTGCCCACTTATATGGGCTGCTGGTCATGCTCAGCAAGATTCCGTCAAAGTTCTACTCGAACATAATGCTGATGTAAGCTAAATATCAAGTCTAAAAAGTAGGTTTTACACGTTTCTGCCATGTAATGTCATATAAGTGGCATCTAAGAGACGACTGGTTGTATCTGTCATGTTGACATTTATGATTTATCATAAATTTGAGGTGAAGTTCAAATGAAGTACTTCACCATACGGTCCGCTTGATTTATTATGCAATACAAAAAGTACATATAATATGATATGCCTGCTGTTTACGCCGGTATGTGGTGTGCCCAAAGTGCTGTTTGCAGGGCCGGTATATGTAATGCCATCGTGCCTGGCTCCAAATAAAACTTAAGTACCTTATGTTCTCTATGTTGCCCCATGCTTATGTAATATAGAAAGTAAAACATAGTCTCAAGAAGAATGATTGACTTCCAACCAAATATGATATTGACATTATAAGCATTGATCTTATATACCTTGATGGCTTGATTCACTGATTATGTGTACAACAATATACAATTTTGCTTCGCAAAGTAGTGTTTTTTGTTTGGTTTGATCCTGTGACACTATGGGTCAGGCTGTGATAATGAATAATATTACAATAGCATAGGAATTATATGATAAATACACCTCATTTGATATGATGATTGTGAAAATTAGTCTTGATCACTTGACACGTATAAGTTATTATGAGAATCGTTTGACCACATCCCCAATATGGAACCTTGTAATTTATTAGTTTGACGTGTTCATGTTTATACCTAAATTTTAGGATGTCAAATGGAAAAGGAAAAATTTGTGTAATTAGGCTTCTAGTAATATTTATCAGTTAGTTCTTGAGAAGATAAGTGGGATTGTTCTTGTTAGGGAGCGAGCTTATCATGCTCTGTGGTCGAAAATTTCACCCAAGGATAGTGTAAAGTTTATATTAGAAGGAAGCATAAAAGTAGACATCCTTTTCATGAATTAGTATAGGAGATCAGAAAAATAAAAGAACTTTGTTTTCCTTCTTGAATCACAGGACGTGAATATTATCTTGTGTGAATTATGTGCTCACTGTTGGTTTGTTGTTTTGTCTGCAATTGTTGCAGCCAAATTGTAAAACAGAAGATGACATCACTCCTCTACTATCTGCTGTGGCAGCCGGTTCAGTGGCATGTTTGGAGTTGTTAATTAAGGTAAATTATTTACTACTATCTGTAATCTTTCTTTTTCTCCCATGCATTTGCTTTTATTACCCATCATTTATACAATGGTTTTACACATGCAACTTCCCCTTGTTTTCTTTTTTGAAGATATTTGTTTTGATTCATCATCACCCCATATGAAAACACATAGATCACTTTTCTGATAGAATATTGAACAGTTTGGTCAAGTTGAACAAAACTGACAAGGTATGAAGGGTCATGCAATCTTTATGTTATACATAAAAAAGAAAAAAAAATTCCTTGTACTTGGCTCATTGTATTGAACTGGATTAAGAATTTGATAAAAAAAAAAGTAGGTTTTGAGTTATATGTCCTTAGTCGGTAGTGTTAGGCAACATTGAATCACGTTATCGCGGTACTTTTGATTAGCAGTCCCTAAATTTTATCTTATTTCTTCTATTAGGTCTTTTTGTTGACATCATCAAGTAAATCTGACAGCGGCTACTTTCCTGTTTCATATAGGCAGGTGCAGCAGTGAATGTTACTGCAGGTGGAGCAACACCTTTACACATTGCTGCTGATGGTGGAAGCCCAGAAATCATTAACTGCTTATTACAAGCTAGGGCAGATCCTAATGTCACGGATGAGGTAAGGCAAAAATTAACATGCCTAAGTTTTTCAATTTGGTTGTTTCTTTAATCTATAGAAGTAAACAGAACTGTGTTCTCTTATTAATATTAGCTTCAACTGGATCAATGAGAGAGAACCACTTAATGATGTTTTCTTCAATTAACTATTATGGATGGGTCGATGTGCGAGAGACCAGTTCTTGCTATTGGCACATTAGATTCATGTGTAGCCCCAACTATACTCATTTATTGTAATGAGAGATTTGTCTGATTAATGAAAGAGCAGTCCCTGTGTGTGATAAAAAGGGGAGAAGCATTGCTTTAATGTGCCTCTGTCATTGTTTAAGGCACTTAGTTGAGGTCTAGAGTAACATTCTTACTTTATATGAAAATTGTCAGGAATTAATACTAAAAGGATTTGCCTGCAAGAAATTGTTTAGTTTGAACTACATGTACAAGATAATGTCACAAACTCTGAGGATCGGGTTCAATAGAGTGTTGTTTATTTATGAACCTGCAGAAAAAATTGTTTATTTTGAACCAATATCGCCATTCATGTATTGGAAGCACATCTAATCGTAAATTAATTCTGCTGCAGGATGGCTTGAAGCCAATACAAGTGGCGGCTGCCAGAGGAAACAAGGTGGCTGTTGAAATTCTTTTCCCCATAACATCTGCAGTTGCATCTGTTCGAGAATGGAGTATTGATGGAATTCTTCAACACATGCAACATAAATCGGGCAGAAGTGAGGTACTTGTACTTTCATATATTGAATTGAAGGGCTGACAACATTTGGTTTGTCTTTTGTCAGTACTGTATAATTATAGTGGACAGATGTTGGATAATGTTGGTTTATTGCTTACCAGATTTTAAATAGTGGCAATGTAAACTAATGCAGGATGAAAATAAAAGCTTGAAGGAATCTAGCAAACTGAAGGATAATGCACTGTCAAAGCAAGATATACCGGAGGTCTTTCTCGACTTACTCTAAGATACATATTTTCTCTTTTCTTGCAGAAGCATATATATATATATATATATATATATATATTCTCAATTATTTCTCACCTGCCATGTATTTCTTATTGGCTATTTTCTCATTGATGGGTTATTGTGGATTGTGGTTGGGAATTTTCATGCTTTTGTGGATCTATCGTTTTTTATTATTTTTTTTCTCTTATTTTTCTTTTCTTTTTTCCCCTATACTTATCTATCCCTCCTGCACCCTTGTTGATCTGCATTGTGTGGAAGTTAGGAAAACAAGGAATACTTGATAGGATGGTGATAGTCTGATAGAGAGAAAACGTTAAAAACTAGAAGAACTGTTTCATGTTTCATTTCCCTTGTCTTCAGAAATACTGCTCAAGTTTGTTACCTCATCATTTTACGTCTTGAACCTTACTTAAAAAAAAGTGTTGGAAGCATGTGAGTCCTGTTATAATTCTAGCAATCTCATAATTGGTGACTCCATATTCTTGTAGAGATTTTGAATGGTAAAATGGTGCTGGCTGTTGAGTAATCCAGAACTATCCAAAATTCATCATCTGTAGTATTAAAAAAACGCATTTATGAATATCCTTGCAGTATAATCAATTAATGACTGAGAGCGGCACCAAATTGGTGTGATTTGGGTATCTTTGTTATCAGTTAAGGTGAAGAAGTGCCGTTTTTAGTTGTAGTACTATTTTCAGTTTTACTTAATAATGAACTTCAATTTCCAGGTAACAGCTGAAGCCAAGAAGAAGGCTGCTGAAGCGAAGGCCAGAGCCGATGATGCTTTTAGGAGGAAAGACTTTATGGCTGCAATTGATGCTTATACACAGGTGCATATTTTGTCTGAAATTGACACACAATTATTTTGCACCACCTTTTTCTATTCCTTTCAGGTGGTTCAAAATCTTTATTATATGTCTATATACTGTTTTTAAGTCTATTCTTATAACATTTTGGCATGATTTTCTCATACATGGATAATAATATGTTAGTTTGGAAGTCTTGATACTTTATTTCGAAGTGATAACTTCTTTAGCCTATCAAGACAACTTACATTTTACTTAACACATGCTCACAGTAATCCATCTTCTTTTTCCAGAAAGTAGGTCTTCATATGGTGTTACAGTGCTAGACTATTTCTGTTGGATTATAGGGGTAGCCTTGCAAATATGGCTTTTTTGTCGCATTGGTAAAATTGGCTCTCTAAGTGCTCTTAGGCTGTGGTTGAAGAGGCGAATACGCTACTTGTTTTGGAGCCTTTTGCAAAACTCCATTTAGAAAATGGACTCTTCAAAAAGTCTCTAAATATTACTTCTCTAAAAATGGACTTTATAAAATGAGTTACTTATCCAAAAGTGGATATCAAATTACTTCCAATCATATATGAGTATGCAACTGGATATTTACATTCAAAAGTCTATTCGGAAAGTGCTCCCTAACAAGCACTATATTTGGTGACTTGAAATTGTCCCTAATATTCTGCAAAATCAAAATGGGCGGCGGACAACTCATTGCAGCATATAATCTTTAGTCTGTACTCTCGAGTCTTCTCTGTGATAATGGAGTTGAAGTCTAACAACTGATGATTCTGAGGAAGTATAAGCTTTCGTGATCCTAATCATCAACAGCAATTTGTTGTTATCATCTTTATATGATCATCTAATAACATATATTATTCAAGTGCTAACTCCATTGAAAATCTTCCTACCGCTATTGCTTTTATTTTTATTTTTTTTTTAATGAACAGTAGTCTGAATATAGAACCCCTTTTTCACCTTATTCTTCCATGTTAAATCCCAAAAACTAATAGGGAGGGACAAATTTGTGCCCATATTTGTCTAATCATATTATTTATTGAGTATTTGTAAAAGGACACTGACTTTTATACATTAGTTTTTGGCCTTTTGCTGTAATCTGGTCTATTTGAAATTCATATTCTCTCATCATCACTTGTAGGATGTTACCTAAACTCTTTGCATAATCAAATTTTATTCAATATCCTTGTCACTTTGAAATATCATAATTTTTACATGCATATACATATACATATATAACTTAGTATTATTCTCGGATGTGTGCCAAGTGTCCCTTGATTTTGCTGTTTTGTTACAAGGTATTTTTTTATGCATTTGCAGGCTATTGATTTGGACCCAACTGATGCAACATTGCTTTCTAATAGAAGTCTCTGTTGGATACGTCTGGGCCAAGCTGATCATGCTTTAGCTGATGCCAAAGCATGCAAAGCTCTTAGGCCCGATTGGCCCAAGGCTTGCTATCGTGAGGGTGCTGCCCTTCGTCTACTCCAGGTGGAGACTTCTCGGGGACAGCTTATCTTAATTGCTTTCTACTTGAGATTTTTCTTCTCTATCTCTCTCTCTCTCATTATACATTATATGAACTGTATAATGAACACTTATTTAACTTTTTTAATGTTGCAGAAGTTTGAGGAGGCAGCCAATGCTTTCTATGATGGAGTCTTGCTTAACCCTGAGAATATGGAGCTTGTAACTGCTTTCAGGTCTGATTTCACTGCCATAGCTTTACCCTCTTACCATTTGTTGTATGCAAGAAACCTGCAGAGATACCAAGACCGAGTCCTCGTTTGTTTGTTCAGCTTCTGAGGCATAATTGCAAATATGCTTTTTTCCTAAAAACGTAGATAAATAAAGAAACTGCATAATTGCAAATGCTTTTTTCCTATAAACATGGATAAATAAAGACACTGAATAAGATACAGAAATCTTGGAGCCTCTATAGTTTTCAGATTTCAACAGGCAAACACGGTTATAATATGTTGTCCTTCTAAACCCGTGTTATAGTTGTTGCTTTATATTGCTTTTCGAGCCTCCTGACAAATACCACAATTGAGGATTTCATATGAATCATCTAGACAGGATTCTTATGTGCTTGTTCTTGGTTGCTAAATTTTTTGGACTGCTCTGCAGGGAAGCTGTCGAAGCAGGAAGAAAATTCCACGGCACGGATCAGCCAAAACCTTGACGTAAGCAACTTGCTACAATGTGGATAGCTGTTTGGACATTTGCTGTTCAATTTTGTTTCATAATGGCTCCTTTTAGATTATCTCTGTTCCCATATTGTTGTGGTCTATGACTATCATGTTACTGCGTAACTTGAGATGGCCGATTACTTATTAACGCCGTATTTACAAAGTCCGCTTTAGAAATCGGTTTTCCCTTGTGATAACATGTGGTCATGTTATATACATAGTTCCAGGTCTGAAGAACCAATATATGCAGTCGTCTCATTTGTAGCCAAATTGGTATGGAGAATACGGGAAATTCGCTTTTTATCTATTTTTGCTGTGGACCTTGCTACGGCTTGGCTTCGAAACAAGCCCCTAAAGCCAAATGGGGTTAGTAATTTACTTCATATAGGGCCACGCCTGGCCGAGTCGAGCATATGGCCTTATTGAGCAATATATATATATATATATATTTTTTTTTTTTACCTACTAGAGCTCGTCGAACTCGATTTATGATACTCGAGATCGACTCGACAAAAGAAGATAATTGCTTGAGCTCGGCGCGATCTATTCGATAACATACTCGAGCCAAGCTTTGACTCAAGTGCACGAGTCGCTCGGTTCATTTGCAACTTTAATTTCATTTCATGTATGGAAATGTCACGTGAACACTTTTCCGTAATAAAACGAAAATGTTATTCAGATTATTGTCCAAATATTTTGTCATAAATGGGTGATTCACATACGGGCAATATATATTTATATATGTAGTATGTAAATTACTTCATTATTGAATCATGAAAAATCGAGCTAAAAACGTATTTAGGCAATAAATTATTTCCAAAGGTTTAAATTATTTTGCATTTTTTTTCATTGGAATGGAGCATTATACCAAAGGTTTAAATTATTTTGTCTTTTCAAATTCGGGAAAATTTTTTTGAGCAACCTAATGTTTGCCCACTTTAAAAAAATATAATCTAATCATTTTAAATTGATAAAAAACAACCTGAACTTATCAGTTATGTTAAAAATCAACCCAACCAGCCAAATTGCCTTAAAATTCACCGGAAAATTGGTCCGGCAACCTACTTCCCAGGGCACTTTGGTCATATCACATGATTTAAAAGGGCATCCTTCTCTTTTCCGCACAACACTGAATTTCTTAGCCATTTTGCCGCCATTTTTTCGTCATTTAGGTAAAATTAGGGCACAATTCCGCCATTTTTCCCCAAAGTTCGAGCATTCATGCGAACTTGGATCCTGCAACTCAAAAATGGGTTAGAAGATTCGGGATCAACAGACTTTCATTCCCTCCGACAGAATGACGCCAGATTACGGTGAGTTGGTTGTAGGTCATATCAAGGTGTTGAAACATTTTTTTTTGAAGTTCATATCAAGTTGTTGAAACATTTTTTTTTTTTTTTTTTTTT